CGCGGGTCCTCGTTCTGGTCGTGCTGCAGCGCCTCGATCTTCGTGGTGCCTCCGCGCACGGCTCCCTCGCGCCTCCCCGCGCCCCCTCGCGCCTCCTCCACCCGCCTCCCACCGCCTCCATCCTCCTCCCTCCTCCTCCTCTGTCCTCCTCCCGCCTCCTCCGTCCTCCTCCTCCTGCTCCTCCTCCTCCTCCTCCGTCCTCCCTCCCCCCTCCTCCCCCCTCCTCCCACCCTCGCTTCACTGGTGTGGCTACGCATGCCAATGCCACGCGAGCCTAAACAGAACCGGCCCGTACTGGTCAACGCGCCGTGAGGGGCCAAAGCGCGCGACGCTGGCCGCCAGCGCGCGCGCGCGCCTCATACCTTGCCCTTCATTATCCTCTTTCACTCTCCTGCGTCCTGGCCCTTCACGCATAGGAGGCTGGCACGTTCTCGAAATGTGACTCTCGCCCGTGCGCTGCGCACAATAGTCTTTACATTCCGATTAGTGACAAGGATGGATGCTGACACATGTTCGAAGTGGGGCTCTTGTGTGCTACTTACTGAAACAACTATGACCACTCTTGTAAACTTGTTCAGCAGTTACACAGGTCGATGGCGGCCCTTCTCAAACTGGAGCTCTCGCCTGAGACTTCGGAGAATCCGAGTGGTTCGGCAGCTACACGGATGCAGGTCAGCGCCTTTTCAAAGCGGTGGTGTCGCTTGGCCCCTCGTTGAACTTTTAATCCCCACATTTTCGCATCCCTTGTAGCTCGAATGATGGAGGGCGGTGCCTTTCAAAACGGAGCTCCCGCCTGACACTTGTGAGCCTAATGGGGCGCTCGTCCTTCAAGTGAGGCGCCTCTCGCAGCGAGAGGGGATGCCTGTAGGGACTGTCGAGGAAAGTACTCTGGGACAGAAAGGCGTGTTACAGCATCGTTTCTCCATCTTGGGTTCATTATGGTCCTCTTCCAACTCCTCCTCCTCCTCCTCCTCCTCCTCCTCCTCTTGCTCGATTTCACCCCTCCTCACTCGCCTCCCTCTTCTCTCCCCTCTCATGTCTCCCTTCTCCTCGCCCCTCTTTCTCTTCCTCCTCCCCCCCTTCTCCTCGTCCTCATCTCTAGAACTGCAACGTCTGCATACTATTCTCCCCTCTCCCCCGAAAACGTTCCCAGAATGCTCCTTCCCTCTCCGTGCATGGCTGTTTTCCACATACCAGATTTCAACACTTGTTAGTTATTATGTTTGTTTTTCGGTGTTCTAATCCGGGCGTCGTTCCTTCCAAAATGGTGATCCCGCTGCAGCGTGGGCCTCTTTTTACGGTCGCGGCTTTGCCCCCATCGTTCAGAATGGCTTTCCCGCTCCAGCGCGGGCCATGTTTCTGGATCCGAATCCTTGCTAATCGTTGTCGCCCTTCTCCGTTCCCCTCCTCCGCCTTCGGGCTCCTCCTTCTCATCCGCTCCTTGCACTCAAGATCCCGCTAATGCGGTTCGTCCTCGCCCTCCTCATTTCTCATCGCCCTCCTTTCCCTCCTGCTCGTCCTCCTGCTCATCCGCCACCTTCTCCTCCTCCTCCTCCTCCTCCTCCTCCTCCTCCTCCTCCTCCTCCTCATCAGCAGCAGCAGCAGCAGCAGTATCATCACCCCCTATGTTCGCAACCCCCTTTGTCCAATTACGCATAACACGATGAGGTCTTTTTTTTATGGAATGACAACATGAAACGCGTCCGCGGATAGACACATCAGCGCAATGGGAAGAGATGAGTGGGAGGGGTCGGATGTTAATTAGATGTGGCGCGAGCGTACCTAGCTTGCCTCTCTCCTCTCTTCTCTCCCGTGTTGCTGTTCCTCCTCCTCCCCTCCTCCTCCTTCCTCTCCTCCTCCCGCTTCCCTCCTCCTCCTCCTCTCCTCCTCCTCCCCTCCTCCTCGTCCTCCTCCTTCTTCCTCCTCCTCCTATTCCCCCCCTCCTCCTCTCCTCCTCCTCCTCTTCCTCCTCCTCTCCTCCTCCCCCCCTCCTCCTCCCGCTACTCCTCTTCCTCCCCCTCCTTACACGCAGTTCGTTTTCCTCTCTCCCATCCCTCTTCCTTCTCTCCTCCCTCTCCTATTCCTCTTCCTCCTCCCCTGTTCCCCCCGGATCAGGCGCAAGGGTCACCCAAACTTCAGTCTGTCTCAACGACTGTCAAGCCAAGCTTGCAGGCCTGGGGAACTCCCCCTTCGGTTCGGAAGGGGGTTTCCAAGCCCTTCCTCCCCGAACTCGCTTTCTTCTGGGTTCGCTCGGTGAGGCAAACTTCTGGTCCTCAACCCCGCCTCCCGCTTCTCCTACTCGTCGCCCTCCCCTCATCCTGCCCAACCCCTCCGCCCCCCTCCCCCTCCTCCTTCTCCTCCTCGTCGTGCTCCCCTCCTCCTGCCCAACCCGTCCACCTCCCCCTCCCCCTCCTCGTCGTGCTCCCCTCTTCCTGCCTCGCCGCCCCTCTCCCCCTCGAGGCCTTCCGCCTGCTCGATGAGCGTGGCCGTGGGGTTCTCCGCGAGGCCCAGTTCCTGGGGAACGGCGCCGCGCGCTGACACTTTCCGACAGGGAGAAAGGTCCCCTCGGCAGTGCGCTGCTGCGCTGCGGTTTTCAATGCCGAGGTCCCCGAAATCATTTGGAGCACCCGTGGCTTTGCAAGATGATGCTTCGCACAAGTCTGCGCGCTTTTGCGAATTCTGAAAACCGTTTCTTCGTGACACAAAATCAGCATCAACAACATCAGCACCACCAAATGCGACAAAACGGGCTTCTCGCGCGCGAGTGTCGGAATGTTTCGAACGCGCTTGTGCGTTTGCTGGGGGGGTGAGGGGGGGGGGGCACGATCTATGTTAAATGACACCATGCGGGCCGCTCGCGCCTGTCGGCACCGCGCGCATCTCGAAATGTTTCCAAAACCGTTGCCGCGGACGCATTGACAACATCGTCGTTTCCGGCGTGATCAGCATCGGCGCCGTCATTGGCCCTGCCGTCGTCGTCGTCACCATCGTCACCAGCATCGCCACCATCAGCATCGTGTCTGCCGTTGTCGACGTCGCCATGCTATCACACCCGCCTGAGTCACCGACTCGCACTGACGTGCCCGCGCGTCAGCGCGGCCAGCGAGACGCGCCTGGGCATTCCATGCGGTCACCGCCGCCGCGGCCGCGTCGTCCCGCCAGACTAGTTTCGCATTGCGCGCGAGCTTGCGCGCGCTAGCGTGGCCGCAGCGATGTGCCATCCAGCACCAAGCGGTCATCTCAATCACCGTCGCATGGGTTTTGCAGACTCATTTGCGGGTGGGTGTGATGATTGCGCGAGCAAGAAAGTTGACATCTCACTGCGATCAAGCGTTAATCCTCCTTTCTAAAAAAAGACTCTACCCCCAGAATCATCGCCCCCCCTCTTGTATTGCAATGTACATATGGTTCTGCCACATCGTCCATCCGAAATAAGAATTCGTACCCTCCCAGCCCAACCGGTATCCGCCCCCCCAAACCATTCCCTGCAACAGAAAAGTATGCACGCGCATTCGTTCTCAACACAAATCATCGGTTTCCGAACACGCATGCCGAAATCTTTCAAAACACCGCCGGTTTCGTTCGGATTTCACAACCGAGTGCCCGAACAACATGTCAAACACATCGGGTTTCGCAACGCACGGGTTTTCAAAACAAACTTGTGCGCGCGGTCTTGCGACTTCTGAAGAAAACCACAAGTCTGTCAAACTTTCCAAACCATGCTACCACACTGGCTTCGCGCGCGCGAATGCCGAAATCGTCCGAACGCCCCTGCGCGCGTGCCGTCGAGAAAATCCCTCGCAACAAATAAGACGAAGTGTACGCGCGCCCGCGTCACAAACTTGCGGCATCGTAGCGATTCCAAAATCGAGTGTCCAAAACACATACAAAAACACATGCTTTCGCAACGTCAATTTTCATGCAAAAAAAATCGATCGCGCTCTTGGGAATTCTTGAGAGAACCATCGGTTCTGTCCATGAAATTCTGCCACACAGACCTCTCGCGCGGCATGCCGACATCATTCGCACGCCCTTGCGCACGTGCTGGGGGGGGAGGCCGCGATCCGTGTCAGATAATACCATGTGGGCCACTCTCGCGCGTCGGCCGTGCGCACACGCATGTCGAACTCTTTTCAAAATTTTCATCACCGACGCGAGGACGCCGTCATCGTCGTCGGCGTGATCAGCATCGGCGCCCGCACTGGCCGCGCCTTCGTCGTTGTCATATTATCGTCACCAACATCGCCACGATCATCATCGTGTCTACCTTTGCCGACCTTGCCACGATTCTGCGCCGCCCAAGTCGCCGACTCACAGTGAAGTGCCTACTGGGATGAGCCCAGCGGTCAGCGCCACCACGGCCGCGTCGGTCGCGCCAAACTAGCTGGCCGCTGCGCGCGCGTGCTTGGGTTGGCGCGGCCGCAGAGATGCACCAGCAAACACCAAGCATGCATCGCAATCGCCGCCGCATGGGTTTTGCAAACCGTGTTGCGGACGGGTGGGTGGGATGTTTGCAAGAGCATGGGATATGCCAGCTTGTTTGTTTAAATCAAGTGCATCATATATTCCACCACATAAATGGCTCTACGTATCATGCACAACATATCTTGCTAGTGACACACTGTTTGGGCCCCCCGCTGGCCAACATTTTGAAAGGAAACTCCATCAATGAAACTGCTGCGAACTTGTAAGGCGAATGTGCGCGGCGCCATAACGAGAACCACACTTTGAAAACCATCCGCCCTCCATCCGCGAAACTTTTCCAAACTTGAAGTTTCAAGATTGCAATGGGGAGGACAGGACGTCTCTGGCGAAACGCCCCGCCCGCCCTACAGACCCGTCTTGGGGTGCGACAGGGAGGCGTTCAATGTAAGGGAAAGGGATTGGGGAGGGAGGAGAAGGGAGGAAAGAGAAGAGGAGAAAAAAGGACTAGGAGGAGCAGGAGGAGTGAGGAGAAGGGAGGGAGGAGGAAATTGAACAGGAGAGAAGAGGAGGTCATGTGCGGGAGCAGCGGGCTGGAACAGCAGGCTGGAGAAGCAAGATCGAATGCCCCTTCTGCGCCCCATCGGCCGGGCAGCGCTTCTCGCCCGGACACCTGGCGGCCGAGCAGTGCCCAGCCTCGAGAGGGCGGGCAGAGAGAGAGCGAGGCGCTGACGCTGCGAGCTGTGAGCGCCCGCCGCTGGAGGGCCAGCGGGGCAAAGGCCGAGCCGGCTACACGCAAGCGTCGGAGGAGGGCCAGTCGAGGCAATGTCGGCTCGTTTGGCATGTCTCGTCCTTCCTGGAGTTCCCGGAAGCCTCTCGTCGCCACGGCTGCCTTTTGGGCTGCCAAAGCCGTGTGGTGACAGACCGTGCGGTGACCTCGAAATCCTGAAGGACCTCAACGCACGGTCCGACCCGTCACCACCACACGGTTCCGGGACCATCGAGGCCCCCGTCGCCCGAGATATATCCTCGGAGAACGACCCGAGTCCCAAAACCCTGCGGTGACCCCGAATCCCCCGTGATCACCCCACGGCGTGGTCAGCACACCGTCTGGGGGGCCCCGGAGGATCCGCCTCGAAAAACGGAAGAGGGGGAGGTGGAAGAGGAGGAGGAGGAGGAGGAGGGGGAGGGGGAGGGGAGGGGGAGGAGGGGGAACGGGAGGAGGGTCAGGAGGAGGAGGAGGAGGGAGGAGGAGGAGGAGGAGGGAGGAGGAGGAGGGTTTAGGAAGAGGAGGAGGAGGAGGAGGAGGAGGAGGAGGAGGAGGTTTAGGAGGAGGAGGAGAGGGGGGAGGGGGAGGGGGAGGGGTTCGGAGACAGATTTTGACCGGATGCGTGCCCAGCGGGAGAGCCGCCGCTGTCTCAATTGGCACTCCTTCGAAAGAATGGTCCTAGGTTCCAGTCGGGCATGTCCCCCTACAGGCGGATTTTGGGTGTTTGTTGTGTTTGTTTTGTTTTTGTTTGTTCTCTCTCTCTCTCTCTTTTTCATGTGTTTTTTTGTTCCTCTCTCTCTCTCTCTCTCTATATATATATATATATATATATCATACATGCGCAGAAATAATAAAAACATATTCCCCAGACTTTTTCTTTTTTATACTATTTTGGGGCAGGCCTCCTGTAGAGGGACATGCCCGGCTTACGGTAGGTTCGTGCGGCGTCGGCGCGCGCAAAGGTTTTTGACACCGCGTCGATCGTTCAACCTTGAATCGATCGCGGCCCCGATCGTTCAAGGTTGAATTCAATCGGGTCCAGGGGCGTTACCGCGTCTTTCGGTCCTTCCGCGTCGCAGAATTCGGCGGTGGACAGACCTCCCTTTTGTAAACTACCCTTTAGTGAAAAACGGCCTAAGACCGAAACCGACGGACCTTGACCCGCAAAAACGACGGCCGCGACGCCCTCTCGCGAACCGAAAACGGCCAATTCGCTAATCGACGTGTCAGGGTTGGAGGTAACTTTTAGCGGAAGAGGCTCGCTCTCGCCCCGCCGAGCAAAAAGTGTCAGGGTTGGAGGTCTACGACCTCCGAAAAAATTCAGCCTTGAACGCCTTCGCCGGCGTCGCCGGCGCGCCATCGCCTCACGAACCGACCGTAATCCTAGGCATGGGTGCTCTTTGCTGCGCGGCCTGCCGATCGCTGCGTGCGCGGTGCGGCAGCGGCGGGCTGCGCGCGCTTGGGCCTGAAAAGCTGGCGCCCGCGAAGGGGGCCTAGACATGAGCAGGGACCGACACGCCCGACTTAACCCTAGGCCTTGAGCCGGCAGAGAAAAACCGTCCGCGGACGTCCGCAGCCGAAGTCTTGACCTGCCTCCCCGACCGCTCCCGCCCTCACCACATGAGCGTAAGCCGCACCATGTTGCACTTGTCCACCCAGAAGCCGCGCCACAGCCCGTACTCGGGGTCGTGGTACTTCGGCTCCACCTCATGAGACGAAGCCAGGACCAGGGCACGCTCGGACTGGGAGGCATCTGAGATCTCTGAAATCCTGGGGTCCTCGAGGATGTGTCGGGCGCCGCTGCCGTTCCAGAGCGCTCTGGAAGGCTCTGAAAGCGTTCCTGGAACGCTCTGGACCGATCTGGTTATCCTGGTCATGGGCCCGCCCAGCCGCGTCCAGGCGGAACGGGGAGGTGGGAAACTCAAATCTGTGACGCCTTGGTTTTTTCAGTGCGGGTTCCCCAGGCCTCCCGAACGCTCCCCGGGGACCAGCTAGTCGTCCTGGGCAGCTTATTGACCGTCCTAGGGCCCGTGGCCTCAGCAGAAACACAAGTCGGCGAACAGAAACCTTGACTTCTGTTCAAGATGTTGGAAATCTGGGGGGGGAGCAGGAAGATGAGGAAGGAGCAGGCGCTTCGCTTCCGCCTCGAAGCCGTCGAGGGCGAGGTGGGCCGACAACAGCGACCCCACCTCGTGGCGCGACTCAGCGGCAGTGACCTCGAAGAGGGCCCGCAACGCCACATCGTCGGTCGGGATCTCGGTGGAACACTGCATGTGTCCCGCCTTGGGGGTCCACGCGCTCCTCCTCCTCCTCCTCCTCCTCCTCCTCGTCCTCCTCCTCCGTCGCCTCGTTCCCTGTGTTTGGGCCCTTGAGGGCGCCCTTCATTGCTGCGCGCGGGCGCGGCTCGGAAGACTGGTCAGGGCTGGCCCCAGGAACCTGTCTTGAGCAGACTCTTTCGGCCCGCCTCCTGAGAACCAGCAAGACCGCATAAGCGCACGTTTTCGAGTTTCCTCGCAGCTCTCAGCGGGCGGAGAACGTCACAGCATGAATTGTTCCTCCGTCGGGGGCGCCGGTCCCAGGGCACCTACGTGGTGGCCGGTGAGGCTACAAACTCTCCAGCCGCCCCAGGGCAGGCGCCTCCGCTCGCGGAACAGCTTACGGTGGGGGCATGGGGCACGGAACCAGTGGACCAAGAGCCCAAGCCTGGCCACGGACGCCACCGCCGCCCTCATGATTTTTGGGGGGATCGAGACATCAGAGAGGCGAGCTATCACTGGTTCTGGAGGTTACTCCGTCTTTGCCAGATGTCACACACACGGTTGCGGTATCCCCCCCCCCCATCGGTTGGTCGCGACGTGGACGGTGCGGACATCCTCCAAATATCGCGCCCCTTGCGAGGCGCCGCGCCTCAAGGGGAAAGGGCGTGCCTCATCTCTTCTTCCTCCCGGACACATTCTAATATTAGGTCGGGCATGTACTCCTACAGGGAGATTCTGGACGAAACTTAAAAATATGTAGCCAACATGTTTCAAACATTGTCGAACAACTGCTCAACAAATCGTCCCGAGACTATCTTCTGGACTATGTTTGAATATTCCTCCTGTAGAGGACGCGCTCGACTTAACCTTGGGACCGAGAGCGGCCCCCGAAGACACCACAAATTGACCAGATAATACCGTCCCCCAACCCCTCCGCCGTGATTTTTTCACATCGCCGACACGTAGAAAACTCGACCCCTTACCCAGAATTAGGTCGGGCATGTCCGCCTACAGGCGGATTTTGAAGGACAAATGCAAAAAAGACACCCCAATATGCAAACATAGTAAAAAATAATCAAAAAATCGTCCCCTGATTTTTTGGTGGACCATTCCTCCTGTAGAAAGACACGCCCGACTGAACCCCAGGACCAGCTTTCCGTCCGGAGTCGTTTTTTGACGGGGCCGAAGATAGCTCAAGACCTCCCGCTGTGATTCTTTCACAGCGCGAGGGGGTCTGGCGGCGGAGATCTATATGTCTCCAGTAGACAGGCGCGTTCCACTGCTCGCAACGTGACTCCTCGCAAATGGCCTGGAACCGCCGGGGGGGGATCCACGCGAAATTACATCGAAGCAGACGTGTGCTTTTCGGACGTTTGCGAGTAGGTACTTTAAAACAGGGCTAGGATCGGGACACATCGCTCCAGAGCGTTCCGGAGCGCTCTGAGAGCGTTCCAGAACGCTCTGGAGCGGCCGCGGCGCCCAATACATCCTCCAAACCCGCCGATTCTCAGAGATTTCGAGTTATCCCGATCCGATTTTGTCCCGATCTTCGCGTCGTTTTAGCTTTGCGAGCAGTGGAACGCGCCCGGTGCGCATGGAAGGCAAGGCCCAGGCTTCGGCGTGCCGGCCTCGGCGGCCTGCACCACCGCGGGGTGGACGAAGCGGGAGGCCACCGCCGCGAGGGCGGCGGCGCGCATGACGCTCTCGGGGCGCCAGATCTGCCGGAGGGCCGACTCCGCCACCTCCCGCGCGCGGGCCGCGTTGATCACGCCCCACACGAGCCTGCGACGTGAGCCAAAGAAATGAGGCGAGGCCGGGGCGAGGATCACCTCGGGTGAAGCTCCATCGAGGATCTCGGAGGTCCGGCGGCTCTGGATGGGGGTCTCGGGCGCCGCGGGCTTCTCAGAGCGTTGCGGAACGCTCTGGGAGCGTCCCTGAACGCTCTGGGACGAATGTCTCTCGTCCTGGCCCCGCCCGTTAAAAACCCGATTGCCAACTTCCAGGGATCTTCTGACCCGGGTCAATCCAAACCGGGGTCAGTCAGGCTTGGCAGGATCTCGCGAAGCCCTGCGGCGTCCTGCACGCTAATAACCCGGGTCTGTGCAACCCTGGCTCTGCAGGATCCTGCAATCTCTGGGGCTCTGGCTGACCCCCGTTTGCATTGACCCCCGTCCCAATGCTCCCGAAAGGTACTGAACACTTCAGTGCTGAGATGTGTCTGTCTTCGGCCTCGGGGGGGCCCTCGCCGGGCCCCAGAAGAACCACTCGGGACGAGACGCCGGCCCTGGGGAGAGCGTCGCAGCTTCAGGGGGCCCCGCACGGAACAAGGCAAGGCATCGGGTGTCTGGGATCCAAGGATGACAAGCTTGAGCTTTTCCACCATCGGGTGCTTCACTCGCCATCGCTCGGACGTCCATTTCCAGTGTATTTTTTCGGTTTTCTGCGTGTTTTTTTGTTTTTGGGCTCGATGGTCCTCAATGGTTCTCGCCGAAAGAAAATGCACACGTCCGAGCGATGCCAGGTTCAGCCTCGTTGGGCTTGCAGCCCTCGGGCTTGTCAACCTCAGGCTCGGAGCCTCCCGCCCACGAAGCTGTCGATGCGGTGCTTCACCTGCAGGCGGCACGGGCGGCAGCCTTCGGAGGCCCGGGCGGGCTTCTTTGGAGCGGCGCTGGGCCCCCCCGCCCCGGGCGCGTGCCGCGCGCCTGGGGCTGCGCTGCGGCGCTGGAGGCGCCGCCTCGCCATCGCTCGGACGTCCATCTCCCGTGCATTTTTCGGTTTCGTGCGTGTTTTTTTCCTCGATGGTCCAGGATGGTCCTCGATGGTTCTCGCCGAGAAAAAAATTGTACACGTCCGAGCGATGCCAGGCCGCTGGGGGGGGTCCAGCGCAATTCCAGGAAGTCCGCTCGGGCCTCCGAACGTTAACGGTGGGGGCACTGGGCCAAGGAAGCCTCAGAGGAGGAATCCGGGGTCTGGAAGCCAGCAGGATTCCAATCGCGGATCGGCCATGGATGTCACCGCCGCCCTCTTCAGATAAGGAACCCTCCAGGGTCTGAAGCCTTCTGGGCACATTCCTTAACCAACGCCCCCACCGTATGCTCACAGTTGTCTGCTCTTCGTGACGGAGGTGCGGCGAGGAGGGCGGCCTTGCAGGAAGGCGGGGGGGCTCGCTTCCGAGAAAGGCGCCTCGGTAAGCCGGGGAAGCTTCTGCGAACAAGCCTGCCTTGGGATGCAGGAGGCCATGCCAGTACGATGTGCCCTGCTCGGAGGCGTGCGTCCGACCCGGGCGGCGCTACGCAGAAGGCATCTATACACCACCACCGTGCCAGGCCAGGGCCATCTTGGCCCTGGCATGGTGTATACGCCATCCTGGCCGAGGCCAGGAGGGCCTATACACCATCCTGGAACCCAGGATGGCCCTGGCCTGGCACGGTGGTGGTGTATAGGTGCCTTCGTCGGCGGCGCGGCCAGGCAGCGCCCGCCGCCGAGCAGCTCCTGCGAGGTTTCTCGGCGCGCGCGCGTCGCCCCTGGCGGAGCGACGCCCACAGCGTACGTCAGAATCGCGTCGCGCCGGCTTCGGCGTGGGCTTCCGACGCCGCGAGGACGAATTCGACCTTGAACGATCGGCCGTTTCCGCGACGTCCAAATCGTTCCGCATCGAACGATCCTGGGCCGCCCGCGGTGTTCAAAGTTGGACGCTGCTGGCGAGGTCGCCGCCGGTCGACACGACGCGAACCTGCCGCATTCGTGTGATGGGGGGGGGGCGCCGACGTGCCTCCCGAGAAGCCTCCCCGCCTCCTTCGGAGGCAGCCCCCAGCGTGCCCCCGCCGTGCGTGTGCCGCGGAACGGGGACCTTCATGAATCAAACGGTGTCGCCGCGCGGTTTGTTCTGGACGCGCCGAAGTATACTCAAGAACTGCCCCCAAATAGCACAATACTATATAACAAATCGCCCCCATACTATTTTTGGCCTATTTTGGATTATTTCTCCTGTGGCGGGACACGCCCGACTTACAAATACGGCCAGACCCTCTGCCGGCAAAACTGAGGAACATTCGACGGTACCCTCCCCCGGGATGCACAAGAACGTTCAGCAAACATGAAAAACATCAGCGTACCCTCCCCGAAGCGGCCTCGATCCTGTGACCTCGGTGCGACCGTATGTCTGCACGGTTTCCCCCGGGGCCGTAGGCGACCCGAGGAGGAGGAGGAGGAGGAGGAGGAGGAGGAGGAGGAGGAGGAGGAGGAGGAGGGGGAGGGGGAGGGGGATATGGAGGAGGAGGAGGAGGGAGGAGAGGAGGAGGAGGAGGAGGAGGAGGAGGAGGAGGAGGAGGAGGGTATGTCGCCGCGCCGTGTGCCCTGAACGCGCCCAAGCAGACGAAGCCGGCACCGCGGCAGGCCCACGGCACACGCTGCTGCCGCGGCGGAACTTGCCCGTGGTGGCCGAGGCGCTCCCCCCGAGACGCGAGGCCGCGTGCCGGCACAAGCGGCGCGGCGAAGAGGACTGCAGCCGTGCGTCGGAGCACTCTCCCACTCTTCGCTCTCTCTGGAAGGTGGGGCTTCCACGGCCCTGGTGAGCAGTGCCCTGGTTTGGGAGGCCCCGGGCCACCTCCTCCGCGAGGACGATGCCCTCGCACGGGCCCGCAGCGCCCATGCCCCTGCCGCAGGAGCAGCAACCACCGGGTCGGTAAATCGAGTCGAATCGGAGTGTGCGTTGGCTCGGACTGCATCGGCGAGGAGGCAGAGTCGGATCGAATCGGCCGCGCCGGGATGCACGGCGGCGCCACGCAAGCGTCGGGCCGCATCGGGTCGTCGGAATACCGGGATCGAATGGGGTCGAACGGGCCAACATCGAGAGCGGCTCGCGTCGGTCGGATTGAAACGGGCCCCGCCTGTCGCCGCCCCTCCGCCTCCGCGAGACGCAGAGCAGCCACGCCCGCAGCTGCGCACGCCACATGGCCTGCACGGAGGCCTCGTCGGCGTGGCGTGAGGCCTCGCAGAGCCACGCGCGGAACTCGTGCAGGGAGGCGTCGCCGCGGTAGTGGCAGAAGCGCCACCGCGCCTCGTGCAGCAGCCGCTCCTCTCACGAGCGGCGAACCTGGCCTTAGGTCGGGCATGTCCTCCTACATGGGGATTTTTTTGGCGAACAATGAAACATGGACCAAACATGCTCAAATATGATAAAAATGATCGACGCATCGTCCCACTACTATGCTTTGATTAGTTTTGAATCGTCCTCCTGTAGAGGGACGTGCCCGACCCAGCCACACCCGCGCCCTCGCGGTCTGGACTCTGGGGCGCGATCCCGCGGCTGCGCGGTCGCGCGTGTACGTTCCGCGCGGGGCATCCACGAAGAAACGCTCCGCACTTGCGGGGTCGCGGCGCACGGGCCCGGCCCGCGAGGCCGTGGAGGCGGACACGGCTTTCACCCACGATCCTCGGCCATCGAGTCCAGGGAGCCTGGGGAGGGAAGCATGCACCCGTGCCGCTACTCTCAGGTGGGGCGTGTCCCCCTACAGGCGGATTTTGGACGAGAAATGAAAAGTACCCCCAAAAAGCTAAACACATTGGTAGAAACATCATCCTCATACCATGTTCTAACTATTTTTGAATATTCCACCTGTAGGAGGACACGCCCGACTTAACGCTACTCCGTGGACCTCCCGGGATGCGTCCTGACTGTGAGACGAGTCCGGCCGTGGCGGCGAGGGAAGGGCAGAGGCATCGGCACCGCTCCGAACACGCCACGTTCCGACTCTTCCCGTGCGGAGCCCCTTCAGTCCCAATAACCTTCCCTGGGGCGAGTTTTTCGTCCCAGAGGACTCTTGGACGGCTGCCAGGGCCCCGGGGCCAGCCGAGAGCCCCCCCCCCGAGGCCGACAACGGCCAGGCGACCCCCATGTCCGGATATCCTCACGACGCCAGCATTCGGTCGGGCGTGTCCACCTACAGGGGGATTTTAGGCGCAAAACTAAATATAGTCAAAAACAATATTCCTAATTAGCCTGGCGAAGGACCCAACCATATGCAGTTGTGGGTATCGCATTCGGGGGAGCCCCGTATGGGGCCACGAAACGCTGTACTGGGTGGGGGGGACGCATGCGAACTGCGCCACTGGGACCTTCGGTGGAGCTCCCTATGGGGCCACGAACCGCTGCCCTGGGTGGGGGGGAACGCATGCGAACTGCGCCACTGGGGCCTTCGGTGGAGCTCCCTATGGGGCCACGAAACGCAGCCCTGGGTGAGGGAACCGCATGCGGGCTGTGCCACTGGGACCTTCGGTGGAGCTCCCTATGGGGCTACGAACGCTGCCCTGGGTGGGGGAACCGCATGCGGGCTGTGCCACTGGGACCTTCGGTGGAGCTCCCTATGGGGCCAAGGGGACCGCATGCGGGCTGTGCCACTGGAACCTTCGGTGGAGCTCCCTATGGGGGTACGAAACGCGCCCTGGGGGGAACCGCATGCGGGCACTGTTCGCCACTGCCGCCTGCGGGCTGTGCCACTGGGACCTTCGGTGGAGCTCCCTATGGGGCCACGAACCGCTGCCCTGGGTGGGGGAACCGCATGCGGGCTGTGCCACTGGGACCTTCGGTGGAGCTCCCTATGGGGCTACGAAACGCTGCCCTGGGTGGGGGAACCGCATGCGGGCTGTGCCACTGGGACCTTCGGTGGAGCTCCCTATGGGGCTACGAAACGCTGCCCTGGGTGGGGGAACCGCATGCGGGCTGTGCCACTGGGACCTTCGGTGGAGCTCCCTATGGGGCTACGAAACGCTGCCCTGGGTGGGGCATGGGACCACACCCCATGCGGGCTGTGCCACTGGCCTTCGGTGGAGCTCCCCATGGGGCTACGAACCCGCATGCTGGGGGACCTTCGGTGGAGCTCCCTATGGGGCGAAACGCTGCCCTGGGTGGGGGAACCGCATGCGGGCTGTTCCACTGGACCTTCGGTGGAGCTCCCTATGGGGCTACGAAACGTGTGAGGGGTGTGCCGAGAGCAGAGGCAAGGAGGGGGAGGAGGGAGGAGGGCGAGGAGGGGGAGGAGGAGGAGAGGAGGTGGGACGCGGGGCGCTGTCTCTTCAAAACGAGGACCCAACACCACACGATGGTTGGGAAATAGTCAAAACAAATCTGAAAACAGTCCCCAGACTATTTTTTGACTATTTTTGAAGATACCTCCTCTAGAGGGACAGGCCCGACTGAACGCCAACATTTTCCTCCTCTGCGAGCCGAGCCACTGCGTGAAGCCCGCGCTCGGGGCCTGCGTGGAGGCCGCCGCCGGCGCACTGCCCGGCCCGAGCGCCGGCAGCAGCGCCAGGGCGGCCGCTCTGTCGCCGCCGCGGGCGCCCGACTGCAGCGAGTCGTTGGAGGCCCGCCGCTGCCGCGCCGCGTCGCCCAGAGGCGGGCGATCGACGTCTTATCCACGGCCCTGGTTCCACCTCCTCCTCCTCCTCCTCCTCCTCCTCTTCCTCCTCCGCCTCCCCCTCCTCCTCCGCCTCTTCCTCCTCCGCCTCCTCCTCCACATCATGGCCGAGGAAGCGGACGGGGCGGGAGGTCTGGTTGTCGGGGGAGCTGTCGTGGGGAGGTGGGATGAGCTTCTCTCGTGCTTCTGTATCGGGCCCTGATCGGGGCTGCGTGCCTCCAAGGGTCCCGATCGGCTGGTGCTGTCCTGTGCAGTGGGCGACAGTCGCTGCGCAATTTCGTTGGAGTTCAGCCGGAAGCAAGTTTTTGGGCAGGTGCTCCCACTTGGAGTTCAGCTATGTGGTGCAGAAACGCGTGGCATTGCAGAGATTGCAGAGGGTCCGCGAACAGGTCTTGGTCTAGGTCCCCTCCTCCTCATCATCACTCCTCTTCCTCACCCACTCCACAAACGCCCGGGGGGCCAGATTGGGGACACTGACATCAAATCTGCCCCTGAAGCTATGTCGTTGACACATGCCGTCCCCTGATGTCATCATCCTTCCTCTTGTTTTCCCGCTCCACAACCCCACGGGGGGCCAGAATTGGAACAAAGACAACAATCGGCCCCTGGAAGCAGTGTTTTTGACACATGCCCTCCCCTGATCCTTCTATGCTGGAATTTTCCAATCGCGACCGACGAGATCGGTCGCTACCGATTTTGCCTCCACCTCCGGCATCGCTCGCGACCGATTGGCCTTAAAATCGGCCGCGACCCGTCGCGACCACAAACAACGCGGGCACCCCACGATCTGGACACTCCTCGGCGTCCAGGCTTGGCTCGCCATCGCTCGGACGTCCATTCCCTGTGCTTTTTTCGGTCTCGTGCGTGGTTTCTTCGCCAAATGATCCAGGATGCTCCTCGACGGTCCTCGCCGGAGGAAAAAACGCACACGTCCGAGCGATGCTCCGTTGGAGACCTCCCCGCGGGCATGGAGAACGCGCCGATCGCCGAGGGGGCGGGGGCCCGTCCCGCTGCTGCGACGGCAACGAGGGCGCCGAGGGCTCCGTGGGCCAGCCTGGGAGAGACCCCCGAGATCCGGGCGCTGCAGTCTCTCCTCGCGGCGCGTGCCTCCGCCCGGCCTCGCCGACCAGCCATAACCAAGGGCTCCTAAGTTCGCGCTTCGCGCTGCGCGAAGCGCGAAGCGCGAATAACTTCGCGCTCTCGCGCCGCCCCCCAAGGGGGAGAAGAGGAGGACGAGGAGGAGGAGGAGAAGGAACGAGGACCGCGAAGCGCGAATAACTTCGCGCCCTCGAGGGAGCCCTTGATAACTGGGGGAGCTGTGGTCCTTACCCCCCTGGGGGAACGCATCGCATCGGCGATCTCTCGAGAGGGGTGTCGAAATCGATGGGTCCCCCGGGGGGGTAAGGACCACCGCTCCCCCAGTTGTGGCTGGCCTGCTTCGGGCCCCCGGGTGCCCCTCGCACGCAGGCCGACCCGGCCGGGAACACGGCGCGGAGAGGTTCGAGCAGAGGGCCGACTGCAGGATCGAATCACCCCCAAATTGATATTCCCATCGAAACTACGACGAATACGTAGAATGCTCGTGCATCTACTGAAGACTCTGAATATGCCTCCGTAGATTCGACGGGACGATTAAGTGTAGGATAAATCAATTGTGCAGTCGATCCCCTACTCGAAAGGTGGGGCTTCCGTTAGGCCGGGCACGACCTCCTACAGGGGGAGTTTGGACGAAAACTGAAAAGCAGACAAACAATACACAAAATAGCCAAAAATGGTAGGAACAGCGTCCCAAGACTATTGTTCGACTCTTTCGTGGGATGTCCCCCCTGTAGAGGGACACGCCCGCCTTGCAATGCAGACCGACCCGGCTGGGAAAATGGCGCGGACAGGTGGGGCTTCCGGGGCACTGGCCGTGATGTGCCACGACGCTGCGGCTCTCTCCGCGGCGCCGGATCTCGGGGAAGAGGAGGTGCACGGCAGGAGCACGGGCTCTCGGAGTCCCGAGCGGAGCCCTCGGATCGGCGCTGGGCCTCCTCCGTGGCTCCCCGCGGCGGGTTCCATGGACTGGCCATCGCTCGGACGTCCATTCCCTGTGCTTTTTTCGGTCTCGTGCGTGGTTTCTTCGCCAAATGATCAAGGATGCTCCTCGATGGTCCTCGCCGAAGGAAAAACGCACACGTCCGAGCGATGCCAAGATGGAGGTGGAGGTCACTTGTTCCCTTGGTGCCCGTGCAGAGGACTTTGATGAACACTCTGCGGGTTGCAGCGCCGCCTCTGCGTGACAGCCACAGACGCTTCGACACGCGTGCAATTCCAGAGTCCCCGCGCCGGGGGCGGGATCCGAGGCATCCGCGCGGCCCTCCGAGAGAGCCCGCACAGGCCGCCCCTTTCGTCTGCTTCAGGCGACCCGCATGCACGGGGACGGGGTCGGCGAACGCTCGGTGGTGCTGGTGCCAGGGCGCCGCCGCCGGGTCCAGCTGCTGTGAGGGGCGGCGTTCGGGCGGGGGGGGGGCCTCGCGTGGGGGGGGGAACATCGGCCTGCAATCGGCGACACGTCGCCGACAGATCTGGGGGGGCGAAAAATGGCGTGAGCACATCAGCCTCGGAGGTCCGCGCGGAGTTCTGGGATCCGCGCTGGACCCCCTCCATGGCGCGCGGGGCGCGCCAGGGGCGGCGCCGGAGGCGCCGCCAAGGGGCCCCAGCGCGGATCCGCTAAATCAGCGCGCCTCCGAATCTTTATGTTCACCTTGGGGCCGTCTTGAGGACACCCTGCGGCCATCTTGGGCCCTCTTGGGGACAGCTTGGCCGTCTCGAAGGCCATCTCAGCCCGATCGTTTTCGGGTGCTTTCGACTTCTTTCCAGCGCTGGCGGGTTGGGCCAAAGGCCCATTGGGGAAGAGGAGAAGGAGGAGGTGGAGGAGGAGGAGGAGGAGGAGGAGGAGGAGGAGGAGGAGGGGGAGGGAACTTTTGAGAGGACCAATAACTTCCCACAAGTCTGGCACGCCGTGCGCCCCTTTTGCAAGCCAGCAGGGGGGCGGCGGATCGAAGACGCCTACGGCGAGACACCGCCGCCCCCTGCCTTTTTTGGGAAGTGCGTCACCCTTCGTTCCCCTAAGATTAGGTCGGGCGTGTCCCCCTACAGGCGGATTTTGGACGAAAAATGAAGCATACACCCAACCTGCTCAAAGCTGAAGCCAACAATCATCAAAAATGGTAGGGAAATCGTCCCCAAACTATTTCCCTGACTATTTTTGAGCATTCACCCTGTAGAGGGACAGGCTCGACTTCAGCCTAAGATCGGCGACGGGCCCCCGACGTGGGCTACCTGGCCCCCATCCGCGATGACGTAAGGGGGCGCTCGGGGGGCCCAGGCGCCCCCCGCCTGTCCCACGGGTGGCTTCCGGGCCCTCGCGCCAGTCTCCAGCGGCCGTTCGGGTCGATCCGGGCGCCCCCAGAACGCCCTCGGCGAGGCGCAGCCGCTCGAGGCACCCCGAGGCTGGGAAACCGCGGAGAGTCGACGAAGACAGCCGACAACCGCTGAGAACTTCAAGCCCAGCGCGCCAAATCATGGCCGGAGCCCTAGACTAAAGCTTGCTGCGGCGTTTTCCGAGCCAGACCGACCTGATGGCCCGATGTGAAAAAGGTGCAGCAAGGCTAAACCCAAACGGTGTTTTTCATTTCCGTTTTCTCTCGTTTCGTCTTCAATCCGCCTTTGCCGCAAAACGAAGTCGAAACAAAAACGGCCCACGAAATCGCCAAAACACCGTTTAGGTCCACCCCTGAGGTGCAGCGCCCAGAGCTTGTGGGGTCCCTCCCTGAGCCTGCCCCCCCCGAACGCTGCCCCGGATGCTGGCCCTCCCCGGGGCAGGCCAGGAGGCCGCCCAGGCGGGGCGACCTTGGACACTCGAGATGGGCAACTGAGGTAAGTCGGGCGTGCCCCCTACAGGGGGATTTTCGACGAAAAATAAAAAATACTCAAAACAAATACTCCCAGATGGTCAAACAAATATAAAAAAAAATAGTCCCCAGACTACACTAGAGGGCGCGCCGCTGGATCACCCAAAGTGGGGGGGTGGGGGTTCGGACCCCCCCCCCCCCACCCCCCCCTTGCCCTACCGTGCTCGGCGAACCCCCCCCCCCCCCTCCCCCCCCTGCCCGAGCGTCGTCGGCGAACCCCCCCCCCACCCCCCCCCCCCTTGCCCGAGCCGTCGTCGGCGAACCCCCCCCCCCCCCCTCCCCCCCTTTCCCGAACCGTCGTCGGCGACCCCCCCCCCCCCCTTTCCCCGGCTCGCGCCCCGGCTCCGGAACCCCATCCCCGCCACCCCCGCCCCGACCCCCCCGAACTTCTAACCTCTAACCCAAACCCTGAACCCTAATCCTTAATCCCTAACCCGAAGCCTAAACCCTAACCGTAGACCTAACCCTGACCCCAAACCCTAACACTAAGCCTAGCCCTAACCTAAGCTCTAAACCTGAACCCTTAACCCTAACCCTCAACCCTATCCCTACACCCTAACCCCAACCCTACCCCTCACCCTAAACCCTAAACCCTAACCCTAACCCTAAACCCTAACCTCAACCCCAACCCTGACCCTAAACCCTAAACCCTAGCCCTAAACTCTAAACCCTAACCCTAAACCCTAACCCTAACCCTAAACCCTAACCCCCTAAACCCTACACCCTAAACCCTGACCCTAACCCTAAACCTAACCCTAACCCCTACACCCTAATCCTTAACCCTAACCCTAACCCTAAACTCTAGCCCTAACCCTAACCCTAAACCTGAACCGTAACCCGAAACACTATGACCTAACCCTAAACCTTAACCCTAACCCTAAACCCTGAACCCTAAACCTTAACCCTAAACCCTAAACCCTAAACCCTAACCCCTAAAACCTAAACCCTAAACCCTAAACCCTAAACCCTAAACCCTAAACCCTAAACCCTAAACCCTAAACCCTAAACCCTAAACCCTAAACCCTAAACCCTAAACCCTAAACCCTAAACCCTAAACCTTAAACCCTAAACCCTAAACCCTAAACCCTAAACCTTAAACCCTAAACCCTAAACCCTAAACCCTAAACCCTAAACCCTAAACCCTAAACCCTAAACCCTAAACCCTAAACCCTAAACCCTAAACCCTAAACCCTAAACCCTAAACCCTAAACCCTAAACCCTAAACCCTAAACCCTAAACCCTAAACCCTAAACCCTAAACCCTAAACCCTAAACCCTAAACCCTAAACCCTAAACCCTAAACCCTAAACCCTAAACCCTAAACCCTAAACCCTCAAGACGAAAAACACCACGTATTGAGCAAGCTCGAATGGTGCCATTCCGAAAGACAATGAAACGATACCATGCCGAACAATGTAAGCGAGCCCGGCGCAAGCTTGCGCGAGCGCCTGATGGGCGCGCCAACCATATCCGTTGCTCCGAGCGAGCCGGCGCGAGCGGAAGCGGCTCCAGAACAGCGCGCCGGCACGCTCCCAGGCGCTCCCGGCACGCTCCCAGGCGCTCGCAGGCGCTCCCGGCACGCTCCCAGGCGCCCCGATGCGCTCCCAGGCAGGGGCTCCCAGGCGCTGATCAACGCTTCCGGCACGCTCCCAAGCGTTCCCAAGCGCTCCCAAGCGCTCCCCGGCGCTCCCGGCACGCTCCCGGGTGCTCCCAGGCGCTCCCGGCACGCTCCCGGCACGCTCCCGGCACGCTCCCAGGCGCTCCCAGGCGCTCCCAGGCGCTCCTGGGCGCTCCCGGCACGCTCCTGGGCGCTACCGGCACGCTCCCAGGCGCTCCCATGGCGCTCCCGGCACGCTCCCGGCAAGCTCCCAAGCGCTCCCAGGCGCTCCCAGGCCAGGCGCCCCCAGGCGCTCCCAGTGCTCTCAGGAGCTCCCAGGCGGGGGCGCGATCTTCACGCTCCCGGCACACTCCCGGCACGCTCCCAAGCGCTCCCAGGCGCTCCTGGGCGCTCCCGGCACGCTCCCGGGCGCTCCCAGGCGCTCCCGGCACGCTCCCGGCACGCTCCCAGGCGCTCCCAGGCGCTCCCAAGCGCTCCTGGGCGCTCCCGGCACGCTCCTGGGCGCTACCGGCACGCTCCCAGGCGCTCCCATGGCGCTCCCGGCACGCTCCCGGCAAGCTCCCAAGCGCTCCCAGGCGCTCCCAAGCCAGGCGCCCCCAGGCGCTCCCAGTGCTCTCAGGGGCTCCCAGGCGGGGGCGCGATCTTCACGCTCCCGGCACGCTCCCGGCACGCTCCCAGGCGCTCCCAGGCGCTCCCGGCACGCTCCCGACACGCTCCCAAGCGCTCCCAGGCGCTCCCAGGCGCTCCTGGGCGCTCCCGGCACGCTCCCGGGCGCTCCCAGGCGCTCCCAGCACGCTCCCAAGCGGGCGCGCGCGAAAGGCGCGCAATGTGCGCTTCTGGGACGTCTGGAAGACAGCCGCCGCGCGGGAGGGAGCGCGATCTTCGAGCGGGCACGCACGGAAGCGCTCTCGGCGACAGCGCAGGCCAATTGGAACCGTTGCGACACCCGCGGCGTTCGAGCCAACGCCCAGACCGAACGCCCGAACCGGCGCCCGCGCCGAGATCCTCCCAAACGCTCCCGGCAAGCGCCCGGCACGCTCCCGGGCTCTCCCAAGCGCTCCCAGGCGCCGCCCAGTGCTCCCAGACGCCACAGAAGCGCCGGAACGCCCCCACTCGGATTTGAACCGCCTACGCCCGGGTTCTGTCCCTCTGCCCAAACCGCGCGCCAAATGGGCCCGCTGCCCATTCCCCCGTTCTGGAATCAATTTCCCAGACGGCGCTGCAAAAAAGACCATTCCAATACAGATTTCTCTTTCGAAAATGCTGAATTCCTGATTCCAGCGCCCGGGAGACCGATTCCGGCGCCGGGCTCGGCGTTCGAGCCAACGCCCAGACCGAACGCCCGAACCGGCGCCCGCGCCGAGATCCTCCCAGACGCTCCCGGCAAGCGCCCGGCACGCTCCCGGGCTCTCCCAAGCGCTCCCAGGCGCCGCCCAGTGCTCCCAGACGCCACAGAAGCGCCGGAACGCCCCCACTCGGATTTGAACCGCCTACGCCCGGGTTCTGTCCCTCTGCCCAAACCGCGCGCCAAATGGGCCCGCTGCCCATTCCCCCGTTCTGGAATCAATTTCCGAGACGGCGCTGCAAAAAAGACCATTCCAATACAGATTTCTCTTTCGAAAATGCTGAATTCCTGATTCCAGCGCCCGGGAGACCGATTCCGGCGCCGGGCTCGCTTCGCAGCTGGCGGGAGCTCCCGGCACGCTCCCGGGCGCTCCCAAGCGCTCCCGGCACGCTCCCGGCACGCCCCCAAGCGCTGCCAAGCGCTCCCAGGTGCTCCCAGGCGCTCCCAGGCGCTCCCAATGCTCCCAGGGGCATCCAAACGGGACCAAGCGCTCCCGGCACGCTCCCGGCACGCTCCCGGCACGCTCCCAAGCGCTCCCAGGCAGGCGCTCCCGGGCGCTCCTGGCGCGCTCCCGGGCGCTCCCGGGCGCTCCCGGGACGCTCCCGGGCGCTCCCAGGCGCTCCCAGGCGCTCCCGGCACGCTCCCGGCACGCTCCCAAGCGCTCCGAGGCGCTTCCAGGCGCTCCCAGGTGCTCCAGGCGCTCCCACTGAAATATCCGCCGCGCGGGAGGGAGCGCGATCTTCGAGCGGGCACGCACGGAAGCGCTCTCGGAACAGCGCAGGCAGACAGCCGCCGCGCGAGAGGGAGCGCGATCTTCGAGCGGGCACGCACGGAAGCGCTCTCGGCGATAGCGCAGACCAATTGAGACCGCCGCGAGGTCCGCAGACGCTAATACGTTGTGTAAACCCTAAACCCTAAACCCTAAACCCTAAACCCTAAACCCTAAACCCTAAACCCTAAACCCTAAACCCTAAACCCTAAACTGCAGGCGCGGCCCTGGGGGCGCGCATCGCCACGCCTGTAAGGATCTGCTAGTGAGAGCGAGCTGCCAGTCGAGCTCACCGCCACAATCGGCCTGCCGGCCTGAGGCTGTGTCTCGCTCAGAAACACATAACCCCTAACCCGGGGCCGGATGCTCCCAAATCGCGGCCGGCCCTGGTGAGTTTAGGGTATTGGGCCGCGGGTTTAGGCTTTCCCTTAAAAACCATTGGATTTCCTTAGAAACTGCCCCAGAACGCCTGGCTTCGCTACGGAAGCGCGCTGCGGCGCTTAGATAGCCGAAATCGTAAAATTAGCGCTTGGGTTTGCCCGCCGCCGCGCTGGTCCCCCTTGTCGCGCCCGCATGTAGCCTCTCTGACATCCAAGCACTTGTATCGGCGCTTAAAAACCTCCGGATTTGCTTAAAACTGACCCCAGAACGCTTGGTTTCTCTGGAAGAGCGCGCTGGGGCAGGTTTTATTGCCGAAAGCGTAAATCCAATGGTCCAAAGGTTGTGTGCGTCCGCCGGCCAAAATCCTCCCTGATGCCGGCCGGCATCACGGAGGATTCTGGGGGGTACCCACAACGAGCTCCCCCGGGCTCCTTGGCTCCTTGTGAGCTCCCATAACGAGCTCCCCCAGGCTCCTTGTGGGCTCCCACAACGAGAGCCCCCGGGCTCCTTGTGGGCTCCCACAACGAGCTTCCCCCGGCTCCTTGTAGGCCTTCACAACGAGCGTCCCCGGGCTCCCGGTGGGCTTCCACAACGAGCTCCCCACGGCTCCTTATGGGCTCCCAAAACGAGCTCCCCCGGCCTCCTTGTGGGCCTCTACAACAAGCTCACCCCGGCTCCTTGCGAACCCCCACAACGAGCTCCCCCCGGCTCCTTGTGGGCCCCCACCACGAGCTCTCTCGGGCTCCTTGTGGGCTCCCACAAGGAGCCCGAGAGAGCTCCTTGTGGGCGCCCACAACGAGCTCTCCCGAGCCTTGTCGGCTCCCACAACAAGCTTCCCAGGCCTCCTTCTGGGCTCCCACTGGAGTTCCCACAACGAGCTTCCCGGAGCTCCTTGTGGGCACCCACAACGAGCTCACCCGAGCTCCTTGTGGGCCCCCACAACAAGCTCTCCAGGAGTCCTTCTGGGCTCCCGCAAACAAGCTCTCCCAGGCTCCTTGTGGGCTCCCACAACGAGCTTCCCGGAGCTCCTTGTGGGCGCTCACAACGAGCTCTCCCGGGATCCTTGTGGGCTCCCACAACAAGCTCCCCAGGACTCCTTCTGGGCTCCCGCAAACAAGCTCACCCAGACTCCTTGTGGGCTCCCACAGCGAGCTCCCTGGAGCTCCTTCTGGGCAAGGATCTTCCCGGGCGTCCGGCTCGAGCGCCGGCCCGGGTGCCGGAATCGGCCCGGAAGGGTTCCCGAGCGCCGGGAGCAAAAAATCAATATCTTCGAAAGCAAAATGTGTATTGGAGTGGCCTTTTTTGGCAGCGCCTCGGAATTCAATTTCCGGCGCCGGCTGGCGCCGGCGCCGGCGCCGGATCCGGCCCGGGCGCCGGCCCGGGCATCCAGCTCGAGCGCCGGCCCAGGTGCCGGAATCAGCCCGGAAGGGTTCTGGGCGCCGGGAGTAGAAAATCAATATTTTCGAAAGCAAAATGTGTCTTGGAGTGGCCTTTTTTCGGCACCGCCTCGGAATTCAATTTCCGGCGCCGGAACCGGCCCAGGCGCCAGCTAGTGCGCCCGGGCGTCCGGCTCGAGCGCCGGCCCAGGTGCCGGAATCGGCTCGGAAGGGTTCCCGGGCGCCGGGAGCAGAAAATCAATATTTTCGAAAGCAAAATGTGCATTGGAGTAGCCTTTTTTTCGGCACCGCCTCGGAATTCAATTTCCGGCGCCTTTGGCGCTTGCGCCAGATCCGGCCCAGGCGCGAGCATCCAGCGGACTTTGGCCGGCGGACGCGCACAACCTTTGGACCATTGGATTTACGCTTTCGAAAATAAAATTTGCCTCAGCGCGCTGTTCCAGAGAACCAAAGCGTTCTGGAGTTTTGGCCAAATCCGTAAGTTTTTAAGTGCCGATACAAGTGCATCGGTGTCAGAGAAGCCGCATGCGAACGCGACAAGGGATACCAGCGCGGCGGCAGGCAAACCCAAGCGCTAATTTTACAATTTCGGCTATCTAAGCGCCGACGAGCCCCACAAGCAGCCTCCTTGCGCTTCTGGTCTCCCACAACGAGCTCCCTCCGGGCTCCTTGCGGGCTCCCGCAACGAGCTAGAAAAGCTAATGCGCGCAACTAGTCACCCGCGCGGATCGAGGTCTCCCGGGCCAGCGCTCGAGCCGGACGCCCGGGGCGGCGCCCGAGCTGGCGCCCAGGCTATCCGGCGCTGGAATTTGAATTCCGAGGCGGTGCCGAAAAAGCGCACTCCAAGAGACATTTTTTCTTTCGAAAATATTGATTTTCTGTTCCTGGCGCCCAGGAAGCGTTCTGGGCCGATTCTGCACCTGGGCCGGCGCTCGAGCCGGATGCCCGGGCCGGCGCCCGGGCCGGAATTCCGAGGCGGTGCCGAAAAAAGGCCACTCCAATACACATTTTGCTTTCGAAAATATTGATTTTCTGCTCCCGGCGCTCGGGAACCCTTCCAGGCCGATTCTGGCACCCGGGCCGGCGCTCGAGCCGGACGCCCGGGCCGGTGCTCGAGCTGGCGCCCGGGCCGGTTCCGGCGCCGGAAATTGAATTCCAGGGCGGTGCCGAAAAAAAGCCATTCCAAGACACATTTTTCTTTCGAAAATATTGATTTTCTGCTCCCGGCGCCCAGGAACCCTTCCGGGCCGATTCCGGCACCTGGGCAGGCGCCGGAAATTGAATTCCGAGGCGGTGCCGAAAAAAGGCATCTCCAATACACATTTTGCTTTCGAAAATATTGATTTTCTGCTCCCGGCGCGCGGGGCCCTTCCGAGCCGATTCCGGCACCCGGGCCGGCGCTCGAGCCGGACGCCCGGGCCGGCGCCCGAGCTGGCGCCCGGGCCGGTTCCGGCGCCGGAAATTGAATTCCGAGGCGGTGCCGAAAAAAGGCCACTCCAAGAAACATTTCTCTTTTGAAAATATTGATTTTCCGTCCCGGCGCCCAGGAACCCTTCTGGGCCGATTTGGCACCTGGGCCGGCGCTCGAGCCGGATAAGAAGACTCAATTCAGAAGACGCAAAAGGCTCATAAGACTCAGAAGACTCGTAAAGCCACTCACTCTTGCCGACGCCTGCACACTTCCCCCCTTGCTAGGGGGGAGCGAGGGGGGTAGACCACCCTAAACCCTAAAAGCAATGACTCTGGGCGGATGGGGCGGGACTCAACGCACCCATCCATCCCCCCCTACACCCTGGTGAGGGGGGATAGGATGGTTCTGCTCGGAAACCCTAAACCCTAAACCCTAAACCCTAAACCCTAAACCCTAAACCCTAAACCCTAAACCCTAAACCCTAAACCCTAAACCCTAAACCCTAAACCCTAAACCCTAAACCCTAAACCCTAAACCCTAAACCCTAAACCCTAAACCCTAAACCCTAAACCCTAAACCCTAAACCCTAAACCCTAAACCCTAAACCCTAAACCCTAATCCCTAATCCCTAAACCCTAAACCCTAAACCCTAAACCCTAAACCCTAAACCCTAAACCCTAAACCCTAAACCCTAAACCCTAAACCCTAAACCCTAAACCCTAAACCCTAAACCCTAAACCCTAAACCCTAAACCCTAAAACCCTAAACCCTAAACCCTAAAAACCCTAAACCCTAAGCCCTAACCCCTAACCCTAACCCTAAACCCTAAACCTCGCTCGCCTCGCGCGCCCCGGACCCCTGCGGAAAGGGGGGGAGGGGGGTGGGGGGGTTTCCGAACCCCCCCCCCCCTTCAAGGGGAGGGGGGGGGAGGGGTTCGAACCCCCCCTCCCCCCTTTCAAAGGGGGGGGGGGGGGGGTTTCGAACCCCCCCCCCCCTTAAAGGGGGGGAGGGGGGGGGGGGGGGGGTTCTCGGACCCCTCCCCCCCCTTAAGGGGGGGAGGGGGGGGGGGGTTTCCCTGGAGCACCCCCCCTTTTGTGTCTTCCAGGTGATCCACTGGCGCTCTTTCACTATTGTTGGACTATTTTTGAATATTCCTCCTGTAGAGGGACAGGCCCGACTTAAAACTAAGGAAGGATGGGGTCGGGCGGCCCAACAACACACGGTGCTCAACACCGACAGCGGCCGCCGTTGGGCAGGCGGCCCTCTGTCTCGAACGGGCAACGTCCGCGGCGACACCGACAGCGAGTGCTGCCCAGATGCACAGGAGCTGCTGTCGGCCTTCGTGCAGTCGGACCTGTAGGCCAGAAAAACATGTCTCTAGAACATGAGACCCTCCGTCGGCCAAAGCAAACAGAACACCCCAGGGCACCCTCCCCACGATGCACAAGAACATCCGATCAACACGACAAACACGAGGAGAGTGCCCTCTCCAAACCGACCTCGACCTCATACCTCGGTCCGGCTGTACTGAAGGGGCCCCAGGACACACAAATAAATACACGCAAATAAAAATATTCACCTATATTTTCCCATATTTTCTGGGTTTCTGTCTTCCCCCCCAATTCCCATATTTTCCCATATCTTCCTGGGAATCGACGATTAATTGTGTCTGTGTGTTTTTTCCTCTCCTGATGTACCCGCTCCTTCTCTGCCCGCTTCGAGCGTACCGAGCGACGTTGAGCAGGAGCGGCCGCCGGCGAAGCGACCGACGGCGGGCATGTCCAGCGCGGCCTCGGCGGCGCCGAGTCTGGGCAGCGCCCCCGCGTCGGCCAGCGTGCCTGTCGGGGGCGCCGAGCCCTGGCAGCCTCGCGTCGCGAAACGAATCGCCACGCCTGGAGCTCGTATTTATTATTCGCGATAACGTTCATGACTGGCCCCGCCCCCCCCCCCCCCCTCCCCCCCCCGCTGGTAACGTCACGATTCGCGCTGGCGCCGTCTGGGATTGAACCCTATTCTCAAGCATTCCCAGACGGCGCCTCAGCGAGTCGCGACGTGACCCGCCCCCTCCACAATGACACAATATATGAATACTACTCTCCTCTCTCCCCTGACTCTGTCCGGAGAGTGTCCTGTCCTCTCCGCGAATTTTCTTGCACACAAGATTTCATTATTTGGTTTGTCCTGTGTGTTTGTTTCAATCCAGTCGTTTCTGGTTCTTCCCAAATTGTGCTCCCGCTGCAGCGCTGCCCTCATTTCCGCATTTCGGTCTTTCGAAATCGTGCTCCCGCTGCAGCGCTGGCCTAGTCCCTGCGAATCTGGACAGCACTTGGCATTCGAAAGCACCCACATCGGGCAAACACGCTTGCGGAGGACATGGAGCCAGCATTCTGGACAAGCCCTGTCCTCTTGTGGACGGGTCACTTGCTCTTCAAGTCATCCGGCGCCATGCCACGGCATGCAAGGCGATGCGATGTTATGCACCGCTGTGCGATGTCATGCTTTGCGTTGCCATGCTTTGTGATGCAATGCTTCACAACGCAATGCCACTTCATGCTATGACATGCTATGCTCTACTGTGTTCTTTTACACCATGCTTTTCCATCCATCGCGTACCCTCTTGGGATCATTGCCCTGCCAGACATCCGACTGTGCGAATAGATTGGAGATATACGCCATGGTAAGGGATGGGAGGGAGCAGGACGTCAGACGTGACGCTGGCGCACCTAGCTTGCTCCTCTCTCCCTCCCCCCTTCCCCCCCTGGCCACGCCCGTCTCCCCAGAGAATGAGAGCGGACTCTTTTGTTTCTTCATGTCTCCGACGACTTGTCGCTTTGCAGGGCCTCTGGAGTCCGTTGTCGGGCCCTGGGGCCAGCACAGATTTGCCTGGGACGGAAACTTGCCTCTACCAGGAAGGGGCCGGAAACTCTGCAGGCCGCGAGAGGAACAACATCGCATCGGAGCATGTCTGGGCTTGCTGGTTTTCTTCAGGATATTCTGCCCCCAGGGCCCTTACAAGCCCCAAGACCCGCAGAAAACAGCACAGGATGAAAAACTGGTCCCGGGAAGGGGTCCAGACCTGGGAGCCATGTTGCGAAGACAAATCAAAATGTCGGATGCCTGGGGAGAGAGGTGGTCAGGAGGAGGGGGTTCAAAGCAAGACGAGGGGGCTCCAAGGGAAACGTTTAAATAATAATAGCAATAACAATGATAGTCTTAGTAATAAGAAGACGGATCATCATAACAACCATAATGATGATATGGATCAGACTAATATCATGGTACCACTACGAGTAATAATGCGACTAAGAAGCACAAGACTACGACTTATAATTATAAAAAGCACCTAACACACATAATAATACATGGGGGAGGAGAAGGGGGGGGGCTGACATCTAGGAAGTGTCATGGCCCTGGCCATGACCCCCGCTACCTAGGCATCCGACGTCACATTTTCACAACGCGGATCCCCAGAGGTCTGGGCCACTTCCCCGGGACTGGCTTTTCGTTTCGTGACGGCCCCCAGGCCTGGCAGGGGTTCCGGGGGGCCGAACATTGCCCGAAAGCTTGATGTCGTGATGCTCCCGCAACTCGAGGATTTCAGGGATGATGCCACCCCCTCCCTCTCCTGACCTTCCAGGACGGCTAGAACACAGCACCAGTACCTGGACACCTAAAATCAAGTCGAGACTTTCAGCATTCCAGATCGGTATATAGGGCTGGAGCGCGGTCTTTTAGCACTCTGGATTGTCAGGGTCGTTCCCCCCTCTCCCGGGCAAGCCCTCGGGGAAAGTACTCCCCGAAATGTGCGACTCCCCGAAGTGTGCGGCCGGTGCGGTTGATTTGGCGACGGGGAGCGTCGGTCTTGTATGGGAAAGGGGCCCGTCGCTGATCCACGCGCCTGCACCCGTGTCTGCGCTTCCCTGAGTTTTAGCACTCTGGATTCTCAGGATGGCCCCATCCCCTCTTGTCGAGGGCGCGCAAACATGGATTAGCGATCCATGGAGGTGGCGCGCGGTCGCCAAATCCATGGATGGGGGGAGGCGCCCTCCCCAAAATGCGACCGGTGCCGCCTCGTTCGGCAGCGGAAGTCCGCGGTTTCCCATGGAAAAACGGGACCCGTCGCTGATCCACGCCCCCTTGATCCATGTCTGCGATCGCCTGATCTTGGACGTCCCCAGCGCCTGGATACCGGAAGCCGCCTCGGGCCGGGCTCCCCCGGCCCGCGCGAGCGGCGGCCCCGGGGAAGGCCGCGGGATCCATCTCGCCGCCGGGGGCCCTGTGGCGACGAGGGCGGCGGGGCGGGCGCTAAGGTTAGGCCGGGCGTGTCCCCCTACAGGGGGATCTTGGGCGAAAAATTAAGAATAGTCGCAAAATACCCCCCCAAGGGGCAAAAATAATCAAAACATCGTCCCCAGCCTATTTTTTGACTATTTTTGAAAACTCCCCCTGTAGAGGGACAGGACCGACTTAACGCTAAGGGGGGTGGGCTTACACGGGGGTGAAGACAGGGGCCCTATAAGGTCCCCGGATTAGAGATCGTGTGGGCTCTCTGCGTTTTGAGGCTCTCCGTTTCGCTCCTCCGTTCCCTCCTTCTGCTCCACTTCACTTCCTCCTCCTCCTCCTCCTATTACTGCTGCTCACTTCTCCTCCTCCTCCTCCTCCTCCTTCGGGGCTCCTTCAAGGCTCCTTTCTGAACCCCCCATGTCGGTCCCCCCCCCTTAACACCCTTCCGAACGAAGGCGGCGGAAGCGGAGGGCCCTGCACGTCCAGCGCCGTGAGCTGCTCGCGGCGTGGCCACACGACGGTGCATTTGGCAATTTTCGTCGTTTTCGTCCGTGGGCTGATCTTGGGCTTCGGCGCGGGATCGAACACCGAGGAGTTCAGAAACAGACCTTCGGATTGGGAAACTGAAACATGAGAAAATGCACACTGAAACTCTCAAGCCCAGGGTCGCGGATTTGAGCTTTGAAAATTGAAAATGTCCAATCCTGGGGTCGCGGATTGAAGCATTGAAAGAGCTGCATTTGTTCCCATCCGGGTGCTCTGGATTGGCAATCTTCATGCTCCGGTTTCTAACCTCGGCGCCCTCGTAGTTCATACATTGCGGTGAGCCGGGTCGGGGTGGGGTGCGGGTCTGGCGAGGGGGGCATTGAAGAAGACGGCTCCGAGGCGGGCGGGGCACCAAAACGTGTGATCTTTGTTGCGAGTGGTCGGGCGAAGCAAAACTAAGGGGCGACACGGCCCGGGCGGGCGGAACATTCAAATGTCGTGCCGGGTCCCGCTCGGGTGCGCTCGGGCGACGCGGGGCGCACGGAGAAGGGCCAGTGCAGGGCTCTCTCAAGACAGAGCCCACCGGGCGGGGCGCGCGTCGGGCGGGCGGGTCGTGTAAGGTGCGGAGATTTCTGGAGCGTGATCGGGCGGAGCGGGGCCAACGGACGGCGTGGGTCGGGCGGGCGGGGCATCAACGTGCCGGGCTCCCTCGGGTGTGGCCAGCCGCCGCGGGGCCCACGGGCGCGGCGTGTCGGGCGGGCGGAGCATGAAAGTGTGAGATCTCTGCCAAGGCGAGGAAGGGCGAACGAAGCGGGGCCAACGAGGCAGGGCGGGTCGGGAGACGCGGTATCAGAGCGTGACGCCCTCTGTCGAATGTGGTCGAGCGACGCGGGGCCGAACGGGGACGGCGTGTCGGGCGGGCGAGACATTCAAGCGTGGGGCGCTCTGTCGGGTGTAGTCGGGCGGGGCGGGGCCAACGAACGAGGCGGGTCAGGTAGGCGGGACTTTCCAGAGTATGGGTTCTCTCTCTCTCTCTCTATCTCTAGTGTGGTCAAGCGGAGCGGGGCGAACAAACGAGGCGGGTCGGGCAAGCGGGACTTTCAACCGTGGGGCTCTGTCTCGCGCGTGGTCGCGCAGGGGGTGCCCGCGGAGCAGGGCGGGCCGGGGAAACGGGACATTCCAGTGCAGGGCTCTGTCGTGCGCGGTCGGGCGGCGCGGGGCGAACGGGGGAGGAAGGGTTGGGCAGGCGGGACGTTAAAGTGCAAGGTTCTCTCCTTCTTTCTCTCGAGTGTGGCCGGGCGACGCGGGGCCCGCGGGCAAAGCGGGTGGGCCCACTGACGTGGGCGGGGCCAAGCGGGTCCAGCGGGCAGATTACGAATGAGTGCGGGGCCCTATGGCGTCCTGCGATGTCCCTGCGAAGGTTCGGGATTCGCGGCGTTCCCGGAGATTTTTGAGGACGTGGTTCGCCCGAGGGTCTTGGACGTGTCCTGGGCCCTCGAGGCACCGCGAACTACGGTATAGCCCCAAAGGCTCCGCGGGGCCCAGATGGTCGCTCCTGTCCCAAAACCATCGGGAGCCTGCGGTGCCTGTCGGGGCCGTAATGGTACAACACCGTCGGAAGAACCCCGTCCCGCAGACCTTTCAACTCATGATCCCAAACGTTTGGAGGGGCACTCCAAACGAGCGCCTCGCTCGGGACATCCCCACAGTCTGACCGCGAATGGGAAGTGTAGCGCCCCGCGGGGTGCTCGAACGGGCTCTTTGCTCGAGACACCCATTGCACACTGCACCCAAGGCTGACCTCATCTCTGTGCCAGCCCTAACAGATTCAATCCCGCACTCGCGGAACTGTGGAACATGCAACGGTTGAAAAGCAAGTCTGCCCGTTCAATTCTTGCAATCTCTCTCGCGTTTTTTTTTCCTCTCTCTCTCTCTCTCTCGTCTGTCCAACCGTGTGAATCCCTCAAAACAGCGCGCATGGGAGAAGGAAGGGGGGGGAGGGGAAGAGGGCTACCCTCCGCCGCCGCCGCCGCCTGGCCCGCGGCCTGCCTGGCCCACGGCCCAGGCGCCGGCCTGGCCCGTGGCCTGGGCGCCCCGCGCCGCCCTGGCCTGCACGGCGCCGCAGGGCCGGCACAGGGCGAGGGCCCTCTCTCTCTCTCTCTCCCTCTCTCTCTCTCTTTCCCTGTCTCTCTCTCTCTCTCTCGAGTGTGGTCAAGCGACGCAAAGCCCGCGGACTCACTCGGTGGGCCGGGCGGGTGCGACGTTCAAGTGTTGGATGCCTCTCTATGTGAGAAAAGTCCAGATCACAACCGGTCGGGTCAGATCCCAACCGGACGATTCAGATCACAACCGTCGAGGACACCACGTGGGACGGGGTTCTGAACCTCTGAGAGGTTCTGAGAGGTCCTCCGAGGTTCTGGAGCCTCTGAAAGGTTCTGGGCCTCTGAGAGGTTCTGAGAGGTTCTCCGAGGTTCTGAAGCCTCTGAAAGGTTCTGAACCTCTGAGAGGTTCTGAGAGGTTCTCCGAGGGTCTGGAGCCTCTGAGAAGTTCTGGAAGGTTATCCGAAGTTCTGAGCCTCTGTGGAGCCTCTGAGGGATTCTGCGAGGTTCTGGAGCCTCTGCGAGTTTCTTGAGCCTCTGAAAGGTTCTGAGAGCCCCTGAGAGCTTCTGAAAGGTTCTGAGAGCCCCTGAGAGCTTCTGAAAGGTCCTGAGAGCCTCTGAGAGGTTCTGAGAGGTTCTAAGAGCCCCTGAGAGCTTCTGATAGGTTCTGAAAGGTTCTGAAAGGTTCTGAGAGGTTCTGAAAGGTTCTGAGAGAAGTTCTGAGAGCCTCTGGAAGGTTCTGTGAGAGGTTCTGAGAGCCTCTGAGAGGTTCTGAGAAAGGTTCTGAGAGCCTCTGAGAGGTTCTGTGAGAGGTTCTGAGAGCCTCTGAAAGGTTCTGCGAGAGGTTCTAAGAGCCTCTGGAGAGGTTCTGTGAGAGGTTCTGGGAGCCTCTGAGAGGTTCTGAGAGCCGTTAGTCGTCGTCGTTAGTCGTCGTCGCCGTCGCCGTCGCCGTCGCCGTCGCCGTCGCCGTCGCCGTCGCCGTCGTCGTCGTCGTCGTCGTCGTCGTCGTCGTCGTCGTCGTCGTTGTCATTGGTCGTCGTAGTCGTCGTCATGGTCATCGTCATCGTCATCGTGGTCGTCGCGTCGTCGCCGCAGGCGCGGCGCTGGCGGGGACGCCGCCCGCTCGTCGCGGTGAGCACTGGGAGCCACGGGGGGCTCTCGCCGCCGCCGCGGCCGCCGTTGCCGAAGCCGCCGACGTCGTCGTCGCCGTCGTCGTCGTCTCTCGGGCACCGCCCCCTGGGAAGATGAGGAGGATGATGATGAGCAGGACGAGGAGGAGGATGAGCGGAATAAGTGTGAGGATGACGATGATGCTGATGTTGAGGAGGGTGATGATAAGGGAGAGGAAGAGGGCTTGAGGGCAATAAGAGGGAGGATGAGGAGGAGGAGGAGGAGGAGGAGGAGGAGGAGGAGGAGGGAGGAGGAGGAGGACGGAGGAGAGAGGAGGAGGAGGAGGAGGAGGAGGAGAGGAGAGGATGAGGAGAGGAGGAGGAGAGGATAGAGGAGGAGGAGGAGGCGGAGAGGAGGAGGAGGAGGAGGAGGAGGAGGAGAGAAAGGACGAGGAGGAGGGGGAGGAGGGAGGGAGGGAGGAGGGGAGGAGGGAGGAGGAGGAGGAGGAGGAGGAGACTTCCTTGGGCGGAGGAGGAGAGGAGGAGGAGGAGGAGGAGGAGGAGGAGGAGGAAGGAGGGAGAGGATCAGGGGGAGAAAGTGGAGGGAGGAGGAGGAGGAGGAGGGAGGAGAGAGGGAGAGGAGGAGGAGGAGGCGGAGGATGATGAGGAGGATGGGAAGGAGGAGGAGGAGGAGGAGGAGGAGGGAGGAGAGGGAGGCGACGGGGAGGAGGAGGAGGAAGAGGGGGAGGAGGAGGAGGAGGAGGAGGAGGAGGGAGAAGGAGAGGCGAGGAGGGATTGAGAGGAGGAGGAGGAGGAGGAGGAGGAGGAGGGAGGAGGAGGAGGGAGGAGGAGGAGGAGGAGGAGGAGGAGGAGGAGGAGGAGGAGGAGGAGGAGGAGGAGGAGGAGGAGGAGGAGGAGGAGGAGGGGCATAGGCACGCTCCAGCTGACGGCACGGCGACGAACGGCGGGTGCTCAACTGCACCTCGTATGCCAAAAGGCCTGCCGATGCGCAGGCTCCTGGCCGGCAGCCTGGACAGAACTGCAGAGGGAGGAGCAGGACTAGGAAGGCAAAAACCAACCCCCACCCCCAGTCCCGACCCCATCCCGGAACCCGCGACCCTGGGGGTCGGGACTGGGGGTGGGGGTGGCTTTCCGGGGCCCAAGAATGGAGAACCCCCCCCCCCCCCGTCCGATCCCTTGCATCGTCGGCTCGGGGATCGGAGTTGGGACTGGGGGTGGGAGGGTGATTTTTCGCATTCTGAAGGACGGCCAAGCCCCCCCCCGCCCCCGACAGACGCCCCGTCCGAAGTGAGCTTGCCCCCTGAGCTTCCGCGCGAGGCCGCCGCCTCCGCGGGCAGGGGTGCGCGCGCCTCTCCGGGGCCGTCCCCGGGCGCGCCTCCGCGCTGCCGCGGCGCGGCCCTCGAGCGCCGCGGCGAGGAGCGGCGGTGCGGCGGGCGGCGGCCCCGCCACCCTGGCCACTGGGACCTCCTTCGTTCCTGTGTTCCTTCATTCGTTGCCCCTCCTCCTCCTCCTCCTCCTCCTCCTCCTCCTCCTCCTCCTCCTCCTCATCCTCTCGAGGATCCTCTGAGCGTGCGTTGGCGCCACCGTGTGCTTGTCCACCGAGGCCCTGCACCGCGACGCAGGCGGCGCAACCGGGGCCGACACAGGCTGCGCGTGATCGGCGGAGTCGAACGAGAAAGACACACGCATGGGCTAACACGAGTCTCGAGGATCATTGATCTCCTCAGTCCTCATCTGCATCCTCGTCCTCGTCGCCTTCCTCACCCCCTGGGCCCCGGTTCCGCCCCCTCCAACTTCCCCCTCGTCATTCACCTCCTTATCCTGCCGAGCTTCCTCATCTCCAGGAGAGCCCAGAATCGAATCGAGAAGTCGGATCGGCGATCGAAAGGAATCGGATCGATCGGCGGAAATCGGCAGCCGAGTCGGGAGAAGTCGAATCGGAGAAATCGGCAGGCTAGCTTGCCTCCAATAGGAAATGGGAACCCAAATCAGAATCCCCCAAGTCGAATCGAATCGGAATCGGAAGTAACTGAAATCGGATCGAATCGAATTGGAGGTATCGAAACGAGCCCTGCATCTCCCTCCCTTGTCCCTTCTGCTGACAGATCACGGCGCCTGGTCCGACCGCCAACGGTGTCCGCAGGGCGGGCCCAGCGTTTCGCCTGGGCCTCCTCCTTCTCCGCTCAATGACCGGTGTTTCACGGCTGGATGGGGGCCACTCTCAACATGTGGTTCTCGAGTCAGCGGCGCGCACATTCATCCTACAAGCTCCCAGCAATGACACGCATGGATGAAGCCGTTCCGAAACTGTGGCTCTCGGTATAGCGCCGCACACACACTCGCATTCTGTCTTCCAACCATTGCATGGGTGGGGGGACGCTTCCTTCCAACAGGCAAGTGTTGCTTGAGACTTCTGTAGCATGCGCAACCTGGTCTGGCTCGGTGCTCCCACTCGAGAGCAGCCCTTCGGTTTCCTGGCATGGCGTGCAGCTGTAGCACTCGCACGGTTGAGGGCGGCCCTTTCGCAAAGCGGGCCGCTGCGGCTGCGGCAGCCGCCGCCGCCCGCACCGTGTCCCGAGTGGTCGGCGCAGAAGGAGGAGTAGAACGAGGAGGAGAACGAGGAGGAGAACGAGGAGGAGGAAGAGGACGAGGAGGAGGAGGAGGAGGAGGGAGGAAGGAGGAGGAGGAGGAGGAGGAGGAGGAGGAGGAGGGGGAGGGGGTGGGGAGGGGAAGGAGGAGGAGGGAGGAGGAGGAGGAGGAGGAGGAGGAGGAGGAGGAGGAGGAGGAGGAGACTTCCTTGGGGCTGTGCGACCCTGCCTCGCTGCCGTCCCCGGAGCCGAAGCATGCCTGGCAGCTCCTCCCCAAAGCGGGGCCCTCGCCCGACCGGCAGGACCGCGGGGCGCCCGCCGTGCTCTTCCAAGGGGCAGCTCCCGCAGGGAGGAGGAGCTCGTGCAGGGGGCTTTCGGGGAGACTTGGTGGAGGGGCCCTGGGACACTCAAATAAATACACACAAATAACCAGATTCCCCTATATTTTCGCGTATTTTCTGGGTTTTTGTCCTCCCCCAACTTCCCATATTCTCCAATATTTTCCTGAGAGTCGACGATCCATTGTGTCTGTGTGTTTTTTCCCCTCCTGACTTGGGACGGGCGGGCGTGCTGCAGCACCGGTGAGGCATCTGGCGCATCTAGGGCTTACTGCGGTCCTCTTCCTCCTCCTCGCCCTCCTCTTCCTCCTCTTCCTCCCTCCCTCCCTCCTGTGAAGGACAGCGGTGTGACTCTTGGAGACTGGCTCAGGGGAGAAAAGGTCGACCTGGAATCGGCGACACAACGCTGATAGATCGGCGATAAACCCCGACAGCGAAACCACACCTTCCTGGTCTGGGTAGGTTATCAGGCCCTTATCGGCGAAAAAAGGGCGACTGAGGGTGAACAGAACCCCCCGGAACCCGACCCGTCCCCAATGGCTTTCGGGCCATACCTTGGGCCTCCAAAGGCTGTTCGGGACGATCCGGGCAGCCCCGGAACGCCCCCGGCGAGGCGCAAGTGATGGCATCTGGGGGCCGGGAAGCCGGTGAGAACCGACGAAAACGCCTGCACACGTCGAACCTAAACCCCGAAGCCCTGCACCCGATCCCTCCTTTGCGACCTTTGCGATGCGGCCCAATGTCGCTCCCGCGACGTGGCCGTTGGGCGAAGGGGGACCACCTTTCCCCCCCCGCTCGGAGGATGTCGTTCAAGTGGTTGCCGAACACCTGATCCCTCCCGCCCTCCCCCCTCCCCGCCAAGGCATCTCGCAGGCTGCCCACTGCCTGGCGCCGGGCCGCGACAGCAGCACGGACTACCCTCGAGCGGGCCGACAGGGCGGCCGGCCACCCCCCTTCGCTCGAAGGCCGCGACAGAGGTGCGTCTTTTTCGAAGGCGCGCGCGCGCCGCCACCCTCCGCCTCGTGCGGGAGCAGAGGGGAGCGGGCTCGCCAGCCAGAACAGCATGCACACGGGCGACCAAGGTCGATCGCAAGCACTTCGGGCCGACCGTCGACCACCTCGGACTGATCACGCCCGTCTCGGATCGGGCCGACATGATTGCGATGTTTTGGGCAAGCTGTTGGATTGTTCTGATCGACAAGATGCTGTCAAGAGCGCTTCTGGATGCAGTGGGTTCCCCTAGATCCTCCGGACTTACTTTTAGGTCGGGCATGTCCCCCTACAGGCTGATTTTGGGCGAAAAATGAGGAATAGTCAAAACATGCTCCCAAACAGTCAGAAATAGATGACAAATCGTCCCCAAACTATTTTTTACTATTTTTGAATATTCCTCCTGTAGGGACACGCCCGACTTACATTTAGCTGCTAATGCAACGAACTCTTGCGATCGGGCCGACCATCGACGGCTCACTGCATCTATCTTGTGCCATATGTGTTATGCAGTGTGAGGTTGTGTCATACATGCATGTGGTGCAGTCGATGTGGTGCACTGAACAAATGGTTTGTGGTGCATTGTCACCTCCACACTGCCCGCGCAATCATCCCACCCACCCGCCCGCGGCTTGGTTTGCAAAACCCGTGCGGCGGCGATGGCGGTGACTGCTTGGCGCGCGCTGGCGCGTCGCTGCGGCCGCGCTGGCGCACGCAGGCTCGCGCGCAGACCGGCCAGGCAGTCTGGCGCGACCGACGCGGCCGCGGCGGCGCTGACCGCGGTGGCAACCCAACGCGTCTCGCAGGCCGCGCCGGCGCGCGGGCACGTCAGTGCGAATCGGTGGCTTGGGCGGGCGGTTTTCGATGGCAGTGTCGCCAACGGCAGGCACGATGGTGATAGCAGCGATGATGGTGGCAATGGTGACGCTGAAGACGGCAAGGCCAATGACCTCGCTCGTGCTGGTCGCGCCGATGACAATTGTGGTGTCCACGTGTTTGTGATGAAAGCTTTGGAAGGAGTTCGGCGTTCGAGTGATTTCGACATGCGCGCGGGAGTGGCCCGCTTGTTCGCATGCGAAGAATATGCTGAACACTGAATGGCTTTCAGCATAAGGAGCACGCGCGCAGATTTGCCTTGACAAGCCATGGTGCCAAAATCATTCGCTGCTTTTCAGAATCTGATTCCGGGGGCCTCGATCTTGAAAACCTTGGGACACCTGAGGTGTCCAACGAAGTTCGGAATGCGCGCGCGGCGACGCGTGCGAGTTGATGTTGTCCCATTTGTTGCCATGGGTGCTTGTAATACTGTGAGTTGTGATAAACGACTACGCCTTCACAGTATCATTTGCAAATATGCAATATGGAGGGGGAGAAAGGGGATAAAGGGACCATAATCCTGCGATGAACGATGCAGCAGAAACAAGCGTCAATTGTATTATCCCACGGGTCCCCGATAAAAGACGGGAAACGGGTGTGGGTCGATCCTTGTTTTGGGAAGGAGAATCTGTGGGGTGCAACCTGAGGAATCCTCAGGAGACCCTCTGGGACCCCGAAGAATCCATCAGAAATCCAAGAAAGAATCCATAGGGAAACCTCCGGAATCTTGAAGAAGCCTTCGGGACTCCCTCGGGAGTCCTCAGGACTCAGGACTCCGTCAGGAATCCCGCAGCAATTCTTTGAGAAACCCATCGGAATCCTCAAACATCCCCCCAGATTTCCCCATGAATCCCTCAGGAATTGTCCAGAGAATCAAACAATTCTCGGGCATCCTGCAGGAATCCTTGAGGAATCCTTCCAGAGTCCCCAAAGAATCTTCAAAGAATCCCGGAGGACTCCGGAGGAATCTCTTTCAGGATCCCTCCGGAATCCTATGGATCCTCAAGAATCCTCCAGGAATACCTCTGGAAACGGCGGGAATCCCATAGACATCTTCAGGAAGCTTCAGGAATCCTCAAGAATCTTCAGGAATCCATCAGATTCTTCAGGAGTCTTCAGGGATCCCCCGAGAATCTTTCAGACATCCAGGGGAATCCTGCAGGATTCGCTCCAAGGAACCTGTATGAATTCCTCAAACATCTCACAACAATCCCACAACTCTCCGCACGAATCCCTCAGCAATCCTCAGGGATCCCTCAGAACGCCTCAGAGGAACCCACGGGAATCCTTCACGAAGCCAAGGAAGCGCCTCTCAGGAGGTGCCTATGAAGCGCTGAAAAGACGATTGTGACACGATTATGAAGCTGTTCAAACTCTGGGAAGCCTATATCAACTTCCTTGGTCGTTTTCTGGCGTTCGCCTTGTAGGGCAACTGTAGGAAACTTACACGTTGGGATCAGTCCGATTCCAGTGGTTGCAATCAGCACCAAGTGGTTCGTGAACGGCCCGATGTGGCTGCGATCCGCCTTTCTCTCATGCGCTGGGCCCCTGAATTCAGGACGCTGTCAAGACTCTGAGTTTCTCAGAAAGAAAAACAAAAAATGAAAACTGT